ATGGTCCAGTCCTAAGTCTTTAATTTCTTCTTCTCTGTCAGTTAAATCAAATTCCAAGGAATTCAAATCTAAAGTTGGCAGGTTCTTTATATAAACCAGATTTTAAGCGATGGTTATAGGTAGCCCTAATCAAACCCAGGACCCAACAGCGATATTGGTGTAGTTTAAAATAATCCCCAAGCTAAATATTTTCAAGTAACCCCCACATTAAATAGTTTCAAGTAAATCCTCAAAATTAAATAATTTCAAGTAACACGTAAAATTAAATAGTTTCAAGTAACCCCCAAATTAAATAGTTTCAAGTAACCCCCAAATTAAATAGTTTCAAGTAACCCCAAATTAAATAGTTTCAAGTGACCCCCAAATTAAATAGTTTCAAGTAACCCCAAATTAAATAGTTTCAAGTAACTTTCAAAATAGATTCACAAATTGATTCTTTTACAGCTGTATATGAGCAGCATTAAGAAAGATTTTGTTTTTTTTTCTATCTTAAAATGTATTGAATTCTGTTAATTTCCTGTTATCCCGCTGCTGCACGTATCAACAAATAACCTTACAGAGAAACAAAAGTTTGAAATTTAGAATTAATTAGGTTGAAAAACAAGAATAAATTTCTCTTAGGATTAAAAGGGTTCTGTTACGAATATTCGGCATACAAATTTGAAAGGGAGAGTCAAGTGAAATGGGGTTATCTGTTCCATGTCTGTAGAGTGTAAAACAAACAGTTTTGGATTAATAGCTTTTAATTGAGAAAAGAATGAAGAAAAAGGAAGGAATTCAGAATTCTTAGATCTTTCTTTTAATTAAAGAAGAATTCGTAAATCCCAAGAAATAAAAAGTTCAAATCGAGGATTCTCAGATTCAGTCATTTTTCCAATGAAATCAATCTCTTCTCTTTAATTTTTGCAACTTTGATCTGAACGAAGGCTGAGCATGTGTTTTATTATTTGTTTCTTATTGTTTAATTAAATTTTCCCTATGAAATCTGAAATTCCAAGACTTATTCAAAACAAAAAATCAGGGAAGTTTTTTACAAAGAAAGTGGCATGAGGTCACTTATGGCAGAAATGCATGCTTGCAAAAAAGAAACTAATAGAGATGTTACCTCCTTTAAAACCCCCAAAAAGCTTTCAAATAATTCTTCATTCCTTGATAAATTTGGACGCATTGTGTAACTGTATTCATTTACCCTTTAAAATTCTCGAGATAACATATACTCGATCTTCATTTTTTGTTCGAGCTTTGGCATTCTCGATCATTCCTGTAAATTGCAGCTTGAAATTCCTTAATTGTTACGCAATGTATCAGACATAGAAGAGAATGGGTGCATTGTGCAACGTGTGCGGGTCATCATATCTATAAATATACCTGTAAAATACACATTCCCCGGCCCACGATATTGTTTTGATTTTCAGGAGATTTGTGACAACATAACAAAACTAATCTGTGAAATTTTTTATTGTGTACGTCAACAATACAGGAGTAAATTCTGGAATTTTGGTTTGTAAACTTAGAAAAAAAAATATCTATAAAAATGTAATTTTGCTGTAGCCTGACATATATACAGGGTGTCCCACGAAACATGACTGTTAGAAGAATATTTGATGGTTGTCTTGGAAATAGTGTGTGGCATTCAAGAATAGCAATGAAAACTCAAAAAAACAATAATTGAATTTTGAATTGTTGTCACTAAGCGAATTTGTTGTTTTTGTTTAAAAAAGCACGGAAAAGTAGGTTGACCCATGAATGCCGCGGAAAAGTAGGTTGACCCATGAATGCCGCGGAAAAGTAGGTTGACCCATGAATGCCGCGGAAAAGTANTTTGTTTCAAAAAGCACGGAAAAGTAGGTTGACCCATGAATGCTGCGGAAAAGTAGGTTGACCCATGAATGCCGCGGAAAAGTAGGTTGACCCATGAATGCCGTGGAAAAGTAAGTTGACCCATGAATGCTCCAAGATATGATCAAAGATTTGTGGTGTATTATATCCCTGCCAGTTGTAAGTGAAACACCTGACGCTAGGGTTTATTAATAGTAATCCTTGACAGAGGTCAGGGGTCCGCAGCAAATACAGACAAAATAGACAAAAAAGGTCCTCTCCACAAGTGACAAATTAGACAAATTCAGGACTGATAATCTATTTAAAAGAAAAAACTTATTAAACATACTGTTCTTTATTTGTTCAAATAATTTTATCACAACGTGAAGATTTCACCGTCTTGGTGAATATCTTCGAGGTCAGAATAAAAATTTTGCACAATAGAATAAAAGCAAAATTGTCTTCCATGGAAAAAGGATTTATATTTAAGTTTTTTGTTAAGCCCCTTAAAAGTCTAAAAAATTTAAAATGTTTTAAATAATCCCCTATACAGGCTGGGGGTCCCGCCCCCCCCCCCCCCAAAGAAAAATGCCTTAGAGAATTGGCTTAGTAAATGTCTACTCCAGATCAATTTCTCGAAACGTATCTATCCAGGTACAGTTCAGTTTCACTTAGCTATCAATGTTAAAACCGGATACAATCTTGTTAGCTATTAATATAAATCGGAAGCTATTGATGTCGATACGGATACTAACAATCAATTGGTCTATGTCTCAAATAGGACACGATCCACACAGCTATAATTCTGTGAACTATCAATGCACAATCCACATGGCCACAATCCCCTGAACTATCATGCTGTTATATATAATGTAGTTAAGCAATCAAAATGTAGGTATGACAGAGTTATATATATCTACGCACATTGAATGGGTTTAATGTACGCATTTATAAGATAAGCGAGAATAGATATAACGTAGTTAAGCTATCTCCACAAATGTTAACAGCATAATTTGTTCGTTAAATATACATATTTAGAAGATTAACATGGATGGATATAAATGTAGTTAATCTAGTCACAATGCATGTTTTAATCATGTTACTTAGCTCATGTTTGTCTAGATATGCTCAGGTTGACAAATATGGGAATTGCTACGATATTTGCTACATAGGTATAGTGTGTAAATACATGTTTGTAGCCCAATTTTTCAAGGCAAGCGCATTAAAAAAATAGACCGATGACTTTAATAGTTTGGGTGCTAGGGAGGGTTAAAAAATACCAAAATAATGAAAAAAAATGTAACAAGTTTTTTTTTATTAAACAAATATCAAAGTGTGACACATGTAGCTTTAGTCACAAAAAAGTTATGGAATATTTTAGATTTTTTTCTACACAGACCCTGCACCCTTCCCTAGACATTAAAAAAAATGTTTTTTACAAAATAACCTTTAAATTTTTGTTAATTTAAAGTCACAAAATTTCACAGTGATTGTGTCAAAAATGAGAGTACGTGGACAAAAAACAATTGGAGGGGGGGGGGGGGCACCAAAAGCCCCCAACGCCCGCCTGCTTAGGGTTAAGAGAGAAGAAGAAGGTAGAATTCTGTTTGTATACCTGAGAATGTGGATTGTGGACTGTTGAGTGATCAGTTTTAAATCCGCTTAGAAATTGGATTCGATGGTGAAGATCGCTAGATCAAAAATTGAAAAAATATTGTCTATCTTCTTTAGATATTTCTAGAGAAGCTTATGCACAATCTAAGATTTTCTAGAGAAACTTTTGCGCACTCTATAGTTTTTCTAGAGGTTTCTGCATAATCTAGATATTTTAAGAAGCTATTAGACTGAACCAGTTGAAGCATCATACATCGCAAACATACTGTTAATTGACCCTAGTGGTTTAGTACTGAACGTTAACTTTCTCTTATAACCAATGTACTTCATTTATTATATCTTGCAGTGGATGTATACTAGCTTATAGAGAAATAAATCATCTTGTAGGGAAGTTAAACTGCATTGTTAACTACGAAATACTTACAAGGAAGGATTCTTGTGGATGGCAGAATACGGTCTAACTCATTTCACACTACTCAAGTATTAAATAAAAGTATCGAATAAAGATGATAAACATTTTGTGGAGGAAAAAATCATTTTCTCACATTATAAACTATGCATATTGCATATTGACCTATTTATATCTGTGCTCATACAGTCCCTTTCAGCTAATTTATATTCCTAATAAATACATTATTTTTCTTCCTCAATTATTTGAAACCTTTTTAATCCAAACTTTTTTGGACTGGTTTTACAGCTCAGTAAGATCAGTTTCAAGTTTGGTTCCATTTATCGTCCTGGCTGGCCGCTTTATTGTCCCGGTTGGCAATTTTATTGTCCTTGCTAGATATTTTATTATTTTTGTTCCCGTATGCATATGAATGTATATGAATTATAGTCTTTGAGAAAGATTTTTTTAATAAATTCATAATAATATATGGCCATGGGCATGGGACATAAAACAGGATATCTGGACAATTAAATAAAGACATTTTNGGGGGGGGGGTCAATTTAACCCCCCCCCCAGCGTATCCTGGTTTTCAAGTACCCCAGCAGGGATAGGGTTAAAGATTTATTGTTTCCGGATTTTCTCAAAAAAATAAGTATATTTTTCTTAAACAAATGTTTAAACTTAATGAAAATAGGGCTGAAATGAGCTTTATTGCTATTTCTTCTTCGCTAAAAATATAGTTGGAAAAAAATGTTATCTATATTTTTCTCTTTATCTCGAAGCTTCTGACTTTTTTAAAACAGTGTTAAAAATAGTTGTTTTCTAAAGAGTAGATTTAAAACCTTTTATAATTTTGGTTTATCCTAAATACATTTATTTCGGGATTCAATCCATCAAGGGCAGGCTAACCTTGTCGAGTTTAAACAACAACTTAAGAAAATATAAATTCTTTCTCAATATATTTTAAATTTGTAAACTTTGTTACCATAAACAAAGGATTTTAAAGTTTAGTTAAAATTCTTGAAATAGTTCTGTTATGAATTGAAACATATTTGAATAAATACATCTTTATTTAAAGGGAGATACCGGCTATGTAACATATTTGAGCTGAAAGAATAGTATTGTAAATAGAAATTTTACGATTCATTTGATACCAATTATTACATAAGAGCGTAAAGTTGTTTTTAATATTTCACCAGTTGTTTCAGCCAGAAGAAGAAATGTATTTTTACAATTAAATCAAATTAATCCTAAAGTTTTTATCTACAATACTAAATTCTCAGTTTAAATCTGTTACATATTCGTTCTCTCCCTTTAAAGGTGTTTGCAATCCTACAATCTAAAAAAGACATATAGTTAGAGTTGAAAGTGCAAAGTATGTCTTCTCAAAGATTTTGTACTTTATCTTTAATTAATACCTCAATTTACATGAGTTTTTTGATAATGTAGGCTCAATTATTTTTTTAAAAATAGTTAAAGCTTTTAGGTTTTCTTTATATATTTAAAATAATACATTTCATTTACGCTAGTTTTCTTCATTTTTAATAAATAGCATTTAAACTTGGAAGATCTGCTCTGCACCCTCAATTAGGCTATCTGTGTGTACTGTGTACTGCAGTGTTTTGTAGTACACCGACCAAAGAACTAGTCGAGTTTTGTAGTACACCGACCAAAGAACTAGTCGAGTTTTGTAGTACACCGACCAAAGAACTAGTCGAGTTTTGTAGTACACCGACCAAAGAACTAGTCGAGTTTTGTAGTACACCGACCAAAGAACTAGTCGAGTTTTCTGGAGAGTTTCCGAAATAAGGAACTTCTACACGGGCAAAGTCTCCTTCCTCTGATTAAACAAATTGGCAATATTTTTCTCAAAACTGATTGCTAAGACTGCTCCAATAATAAATGTTGCTCCGATGACATCTGTCCATACTGGTAGGAGGCCAAAAAATACAGCCTAAAATTAGTTTTATTTTTCATGAAACTCCAAATTTATAAACTTTGAAAACTGTTAAAGGGACTGTTATGGAAAAATGAACGGTAGCATAGGCTGAAACCTAGACACTTTAGGAGTTGATCAAGACCTATATGAATTCTATCTGATGTTCCTCTCTCAAGAAATCTGTACAAAACTGTTTCAACGATATATCAAAACTTATATTTATGAGATGTAGTATAGGAATCAAAGTTTTAAACAGGCCATATTTAGCAAATACGCAACGAGTCTGAAAATTACGATATCTCAGAGAAGCCTAAACAGCTTAGATGCGCTTCTATTACAATTTAAATATATTACTTATTAATTTTTAATAGATATTATTGATAATATTTGATACATCTTTATAACATGACCATAATTTCCACCAATGACAGTGCAGTATCATTGTCACGTGTCTTCGTCTGTATCACTGTATAAGAGGAGGGTACCCAAGCTGTTCAGGTTCCTCTGATATATCGTACTTTTCCAATTTGTTGCGAATTTGCTGAATACGATCTGTTTAAAACTTTGATTTATATACCACATCTCATACATATAAGTTTTGATTTAACTTTGACACGGTTTCATGAATGTCAAATTCTCGAGAAATAGAACTAATATTGGTCGTGATCAACTCTTCAAGTGTTAAGGTTTCGGCCCCTTCCAGTTTTCCTTAACTGTCCCTTTAAATTCAATGAAAGTTAGAGAGTCCCTTTATTTAACTGTACGGTATACGATAGCAGTACCTTTATTTACCTGTACGGTATACGATAGCAGTAGCTTTATTTACCTGTACCACCTAAGCTAGCAATACCTTTATTTACCGGCACAATATAAGCTAGCAGTACCTTCATTTACCTATACAATATACGATAGCAGTACCTTTATTTACCTGTATAATATAAGCTAGCAGTACCTTTATTTACCTGTATAATATAAGCTGGCAGTATCTTTATTTACCTGTACAATATAAGCTAGCAGTCCCTTTATTTACCTGTACAGTATACGATAGCAGTACCTTTATTTACCTGTACAATATAAGCTAGCAGTCCCTTTATTTACCTGTACAAAATACGATAGCAGTCCCTTTATTTACCTGTACAATATACGATAGCAGTACCTTTATTTACCTGTACAATATAAGCTAGCAGTCCCTTTATTTACCTGTGCATTATACGATAGCAGTCCCTTTATTTACCTGTACAATATGCGATAGCAGTCTCTTTATTTACCTGTACAATATACGATAGCAGTCCCTTTTTTTACCTGTACAATATACGATAGCAGTCCCTTTATTTATCTGTACAATATACGATAGCAGTCCCTTTATTTACCTGTACAGTATAAGCTAGCAGTTATAAGCTAGCAGTACCTTTATTTACCTGTACAATATAAGCTAGCAGCACCTTTATTTACCTGTACAATATAAGCTAGCAGTACCTTTATTTACCTTTACAGTGTAAGCTAGCAGTGCCTCTATTTACCTGTACAATATAAGCCAGCAGTACCTTTATTTACCTGTACAATATAAGCTAGCAGTACCTTTATTTACCTGTACAATATAAGCTAGCAGTACCTTTGTTTACCTGTACAGTATAAGCTAGCAGTGCCTCTATTTACCTGTACAATATAAGTTAGCAGTACCTTTATTTACCTTTATAATATAAGCTAGCAGTACCTCTATTTACCTGTACAATATAAGCTATCAGTACCTTTATTTACCTGTTCAATATACGATAGCAGTCTCTTTATTTACCTGTACAATATAAGCTAGCAGTCTCTTTATTTACCTGTACAATATACCTAGCAGTCCCTTTATTTACCTGTTCAATATAAGCTAGCAGTAACTCTTTTTACCTGTACAATATAAGCTAAAACTATCTGTAGTTGTCTGAGTACAGATACTGTAGCTGGAGACTCCATTGACAGTGCATAGAGAGTACAAAACTGTTGGAAGATACCAAAACAACTGATGCAAACCGCCAGAATCCAATCCTATAAAGGGTCTTGTAGGTAATTTCGAGTGACCCTCAATGCAAAAATGGCAATGCTTCATTAAAAACCGTGCCCTAAAAGCTTTGTTCTATGAAGAATATATTAGATTCAATGTTTATAATTTGAAAACGGAATATTTTCAGTTGTGGTTTCTCTATAAAAGTTACTTGCGCATTTCTACTACTGTAATTAAATACTTTTGAGCCAAAAAAAAGTCTTCCAAATTATTAATTAGATACATGTTTCAACGGTATTGTTGTGAAGTATAATAACAGACGGATTAAGAGATATATATATGTAAATTTGTAAAATATTTGTTGGAAAATGTTGAAGGTTAAATCAATGGGCCATGGAATGAATATATTTTGGCCAAAATGGTCGGTCAGAATGGCCCAACACATTTTATCTAACTTTTAGAAATTGATGAAATATCAAAACTTTTGAAAAATCGTCTTTAAAAATGTAAAAAGTAGTTCATTTCATGTACCGGGATGAATTTCAATTAGCCAGAGCAAGCAGTACAGTACAAATACAGGCTATATGAGGTAAAACGGGACTATACGCCAAATGAATGAACCTCTTCCAGTGGGGGGGGGGGGGCAAAATTAACGAACTGAAACTTATTCATACCTGTATAGTTCCAATCCTCAGTTCTCCACTCCCTGTAAGATAAACCCCTCCACATAATATATATGCTAGACCCAGGTAGAACAGGGTTAAATATTTATCAACTTGTTTAGATATTGTCTTGGCAAGCACCAGTCCAATAGCAGACATCAAGCAACCCAAGCTTACAATGATATAACCTAAACAAGAATTCATATTAGTTTTTATATTTACGTTTATATTATACAAAATGATCTAGAAGACTGATTCTGTTTATGTTTCCGTTTATATTATACAAAATCATACCGATTACATCATATGTAGGATTTGTAGCTCCAAAAATAGATGGGGGTTTGGCTATGAGCACAACTCCTACCAATAGAAATACTCCAACTAACATACGAAAAACATAACATGCTTCCTAGAAAATCCTATAGTTGATCGGTTTTTCATTTTTGAGAACCAAAAGTTTGAAAAATGTTGTATTTTCGATGTTGGAATCAAAAAGTTGTTCTAACGTTGCTTAATAAATAATATTTTATCTAAGTGCAGTGTGAGGTTTTTAGTTTCTGTGAACAATTTATTATTTGTAAATATCTAGATATTTTAAATGAAGGATTGAAATAGAAATTTGATCAAACCAGCGGTTTCATGATCAAATTATATATACGTTTTATCTATGTTAAGAAGTTTTAACCTCTAAAACTTCAATTTGTAGAGGGGACAAACAAATTTAGGAAAAATTCCCAGTTTTAATTTTGTGTAATTTTAAATACCTTGAGAATACATGTAGAGAAGAGCATAACAAAAACAGGAGAGGAGAACAGAATAGCTGTAGAGTCTCCTACAGCAAGAGATGGCATCGTGTTCTTGAACAAACGAAATTTTTGAGGAAAAAGACGGTGTCGTTTAGAAGATGAAAACGAACGATGATGGAACGAAATAGATCGTTCAGATAAAAAAATGATCGGTTTAAAATAGTTAGAAAAAGAACTTGAAAATACATCAATTTTTTATCGAACGAACAAATTATCTCAAATTTTACTTAACTAAAGGTTATTTGGAACAAACTTTTTAAAAGACGAAAGTGTTTTACTGAACGAACGATTTTTTTGTACAAATTTACTAAACAAACGATTTTACTGAACTAACGATTTTACTGAACAATTTTTTTAGTGAGGATATGAACGAAATAGATGGAAAATGAACGAAAACTTTGAGAACAAACGAACTCAATTCTTTTGAATGATTGAAAAAAACGAATGAAATGGATTGTTTACGAACAATGAATGAACTAAATAAAAATAAATTCGAACATGCCCATCTCTACAGAGAACGTGAGAACGTGTCAATCTCTACTGAGAACGTTAGAACGTGCCCATCTCTACCTACAGGCAATCGAGCGAAGGCAAGAAAGATAAAAATTAATCTTAATCCCCCAGTTAACAAAACCAGAGCTAAGATTATAGAATGAGTTTGATCAGTTTTAGATTTGAAAGAGCCTCCTCTGCGGTATATAAGAGAGCCCATTACAATTATTTGCAAGGCTCCTCTGAGTACTACAACCTCCATAGGAGATAATATCTCCAGGCACTTAATCATACTTGAATATACTGTCATGCATACCCCTAAGCAGTGTTATCATTTAAATTTAGCAAATGGAAATTATGTTAAAAACCTTCCTTGAAAAAAAGATTGAAATTGTAAAAATTCAACTATTTTATCACAACTTCGTCATCATTATCAATTTGTTATTGGTGTATCATAAAGACCAACAAAAAATAGTTTTTTCATTAAAGGGAGTGTTCGCGTAATCTAAATTTTTCAATAAAGGGAGTGTGCGCATAATTAAAACTTTTCATTACAGGGAGTGTGCGTGTAAATTAAATTTTTCATTTAAGGGGAGTGTGCGCGTAATTTTAATTGTGCCACTCCATAGCAACGTAAATACTTTGCCCAAGTGTAAATTAGATTTCAAAGTTTAGAATTTTGAAAACTGATTATTTTTAAGTGAGGGTTTTCTGCAAAAGTTACTTGCGTACTTCCACAACAGAAAAACATTAATGAATTATCAGAATTACACACTTTTAAACCTAGAAAAATTACTATTTCCTCCACATTATTGATCAAATAAAGATGTCAATGATACCGCATTGTGAATCGGTCTTTGTCATCTGTGCAAGGAGGATCACTTAAAATTACGATAACAGTCACTTTTTTTGTAATTTGTATTTTCTTATAACACTAGTTTCCTGACAGGAGAGCGACTAATATTCCTCGGGAATCATAAAAATGTTCATACAGTCTTTTCACAACCTTCTCAAGTTTTATCAAAAGTTTTTTAAACAATCCAACTTTCTTCAATAAATATTGATCTTCTGAGTCTATTTCACTGTTATTTGATTCAGTTCCGCCATATTCTACATCCTGTATGTGAGGTTGCATCATATTGGAATAGATTGAACGCCTGAAATATAATATAACAGTTAACTCACGTTAAACATAAGATCTAAATCCAAAACGTTTACAATCAGAACTTCTCATATTAAAGAGCTTGAGAAGAAAAAATGTTCTGAATTTCAAAAATGTAACCGGTTAAAATTACTTTCTTTTACTAAACTAGAGGAGCTACAATGTCACAAAGTTGTACAAGTAGTGTCGCATAAATTCAACCTTGTCCGTATGTCGTTTGTCCTAGTTTGCAGTGAAAAAAGTGACCAAATTTAAATTAATTTAAATTTTAACTTTTAAAAGATGGTGCAAAGTTACATGATTACAACCTTATAAACTTTAAACGAACATTTTGGTATTAGAACAAACGTAGGACAGGACAAACGTAGGACAGGACAAACGTAGGACAGGACAAACTTAGGACAGGACAAACGTAGGACAGTGCAAACTTAGGACAGGTCAAACTTAGGACTTAGGACAGGACAAACTTAGGACAAACTTAGGACAGGACAAACTTAAGACAGGTCTAATGTGGGACAGATAATCGTGGAAAAAGATGAACGTGGGGACATCCATGGGACATCCTTATTTAAAAAGACGCGGACACCGTTGGACAAAGAGACAAGCATAGGAGAGAGACAAATGTGGTAGAAAACAAACGTGGGTTAGGTAAAAAAATAGAAAACTTCAACAAATGATTTTTTAATCCGCGTGAAAAAAAAAACACTAAAATTTGACAATAATCAAAAAACCTTCATTGGAGATTGGAGATTGACGAAAAATCAAGGGATTAAGAATAATCTTGAAGACTTTGATTTCGTTGAACCAAAACACTAAATGTTTTGTTTTGCTAGGTTACACACTGTAAATTTCCAGATTGTATATAATATCCAAAGTCACGAAAATGGCATCTCATTATTGCTTAATTTTTAATAATTTTGTGTGCAGATCAATTTTTGGAATATTTTATTTCAAAAGTAAGGCTTTGATCGCACTATTTAAAGAATTGGGAAAGAAACTGGGAGTTGAGCTGAGCTTGCAGTTCTGGAGGGAACTTTTTTAGGATTCATTTGATACTTATGAGATGTTTTTACACGAAAATATAACAAACATTCTACAGTAAACTGATAAGTTGTTTAAAAAAAAGCTGAGAAAAAAATTATTTCTTATAATCGAAAATAAGTAATCCTACTCAGATATTGGTTTCTGTAATGTCTCATTGTTCACAAACATTTTCTGTAGATTTCCTGGAATTTTTATTGAAAAGACCACTTTGAAGAATTTGCAGAAATCTGCGAAAAATTCATATAGAATACGAAATTCAATATAATGATGAAAAAGAACTAATTGATTCTATCATTGATTTATTGACAAATTTCTGTTGTGAAACATGTTTCTAAACATCTCATTATTTACTGAAGAAATTTTTGTTAAAGTTTTAGTTTTCGTTGTTAAATAATTTTTATAAACCGATTCTCAAAATATTCTCCAGAATGGACAATCCAGGAGAAGTTTAACGAATTTGCGGTCTTGCTAAACATTTATATACCGTTAAACCATTTTACAGGTCTTAAATAAATCCTTTAAAAATTCATTTAAATATAATGTCTAGCCAAACACTTTCTTTAAGAAAACATAAAAATTGTTGAACTGTGCCCATTAATGTTTTGTTTACAAAAACTAGATCACAATTAATTCAGGCCTGCATGGAAAAAGAAAGAAAGAGAGAAAATTTCAGGATGTAAATTCAGAAGATCCCCAATCTCTACTGAGANTGAATATTACATAACCTAAATTTAAAATATTTATAATTTAAAATTTGAATAAAAGGTTTACACCATCAGTTATGTATAAGAAACTTTGAGTTTGTGGCAAAAAAATGTGTTCCTTTTCTAAGAAGTCACATGATCTGTGGCATCTGAACAAAGACTGAAATATTTGTTGGTGAGTAAATATTTATATAATAAAGGAACAGCCAGCTTTACGTATAAAATACTGCAGACTAATGTGACTATTCTTAGGAATAAAAAACAGATTTCAGAATAATAACAAATATTTGCATTTATATAGATTCAAGGATGTAATAAAATGCCACATGTTAGAAAGAAGAAAGGGGGTTGTTGACAATATATGCATGTTTCTATTTCTTTTTTTAAAAGTTAATCCAATCTCGCTTTTCCATATTTTCTTGTTTTAAAAACTGTGTTACCGTTTCCCAATTGTATATTTGTTAAAACTTAAAATTATCCTTAACATAATATGTACCAGGCTATTTTCAATTTGAAATTTCAAATGTTGCTCAAAATAATCTCAGGTTTGCTCATATTATAATTTTTTATTTTGCATTTTTAATAGATATAATTAATAATATTATTACATGTAGTCCGTATAGTTCGTATTACGTCACAATAACCTTAGCCAATGACAGTGCAGTATTGTTGTCACGTGGTACAGACGGAAATCATGTGACCAGTATACTGCACTGACATTGGCTGAAGTACTGGTGACGTAATACGGACTATACGGATTAAATGTAAAAATATTATCAATTATATCTATAAAAAATGCAAAATAAAAATTAAATGATTATAACAGGAGCAAACCTGAGATTTTCAGGTTGCTGTGAGATATAGTCGTTTTCAGATTGGTTGCGTAATTGTTGAATATGATCTGTTTAATGCTACAACTTTTATACAAAATCTGACATATTCCTTTTTTGGTATAATTTTGGCACAGTTTTATGTCACTTTCTCGAGACAGGAACATAAGATAGATGTCTTACAGGTAATGCTCAAAACCTATCCAATACCCCCTTTCATTTTTCCTTTACAGTCCCTTTAAATAGTTTAAATAATCTTCCCTATCCTAGTAATCCCAAGCTTTAGAACCAAAGAGAAGAGCTACTTATAGAGTGGAATTGAGTCGAAAAAGGTGTAAAATCGTCATTTTGTTGTACTGTCTACATACTGCAGGTGTACTTCACACATTTGTGCTATATAACCTTTTGGGCCCTGGAACATCTTTTTATAAAAAAAAAAAACATTTTTCTTGAAATTTTTTTATTCTCTCTGAATCAATTCTCTGACAACCTTCTTGCATTCCTGAGTTCATATCACCAAGTTTTACTTTACATTCCTGAGTTCATTTCACCAAGTTTTACCTTACATTCCCGAGTTATTTCACTAAGTTTTACCTATCATTCCCTAGTTCATTTCACCAAGGTTACTTTACATTCCCGAGTTCATTTCACCAAGTTATACTTTACATTCCCGAGTTCATTTCACCAAGTTATACTTTACATTCCCGAGTTCATTTCACCAAGTTTTACCTTACATCCCCGAGTTCATTTCACTAAGCTTTACTTTACATTCCTGAGTTCATTTGAGCAAGTTTTACTTTACATTCCCGAGTTCATTTCACCAAGTTTTACTTTATATTCCAGTGTTCATTTCACCAAGCTTAACATTACATTCCCGAGTTCATTTCAGCAAGTTTTACTTTACATTCCCGAGTTCATTTCAGCAAGTTTTACTTTACATTCCCGAAAGCTTTACTTTACATTCCTGAGTTCATTTCACCAAGCTTTACTTTATATTCCAGTGTTCATTTCACCAAGCTTAACATTACATTCCCGAGTTCATTTCACCAAGTTTTACTTTATATTCCCGAGTTCATTTCACCAAGCTTTACTTTATATTCCGGTGTTCATTTCACCAAGCTTAACATTACATTCCCGAGTTCATTTCAGCAAGTTTTACTTTACATTCCCGAGTTCATTTGAGCAAGTTTTACTTTACATTCCCGAGTTCATTTCACCAAGTTTTACTTTA